TTTTTAGATGGTCGTACCAACGATTTCGTTGGATGTTGAAGGTGTTCTGTTCAAAACATCAATTTCAACGTTGACCAAAGTCAAAGGCAGTTACTTTGATCGATTATTCCAGAATGACTGGAGAGATCACCTTGATAAGGTACGTCGGCATTGCTAGAAACCGACTACGTTCTCCCGAAGAAAAGCACCTGTATTATTCCTGTGTCCTGCACTATTTTTGTAATCGTCGAAACGTTGGTAGACCACGAAGTTGGTTTTTGGAAGCGCATCCCAGCTAAGGCTTCCAGTGTGAACCTCAATCTGCTCTCCCCTTCGAAGCTTTTCACAATTCCTTCCCGTGACTGTACAAGTAATCCCCAGAAAGGATCAGGCGTTCTCTATCACAAACAAGCCAGGGCTCTTCATTTTGTACGAATTCTGAAACGTGGTTTACTAGTCCATTTGAAATTTTCACTCTCGGTACAGAAAGGAGATAAACAAGACTGGTAATCTGCATCGCTCGGCGTCATCTATGTTCTTCTTTACTAAGTGATGCCTTTCCGATTTTGAGATGGAACCATCTCTGTCATTGGTGATTGCGGGGAGTTTTTGACCCTTTTGCACTTTCACTAGGGCACCGTTTCTCCAAAACTCGTCACAATTCCTCTCTATCAACAGAGGGGGCAACTTTCTCACCTTGGATACACATGTGTACCTCCTATGTATAAACCAACGCCCGTATTAGAGTGTTTAGTGGCTCTACATCGTTCTGTAGAGGAAATTAGCGATAGACCAGCACAAATTTGAGTAGGGGTTCCGGTAGAGGAAGGCAAGTTTTGTGAATGATTTGAGCTTTTTGACTATTGTTCGGACATAATTTCAAAGAATTTCCAGCACGGTCACCTGTTTGTCGATCGCGACTCGACAATCTTCCCGTTGATCCTGAACTATCTACGCGATGGCAGTATTCCTTTGCCTCGTGATGAATATTATTTGGAAAGAATTTTGAGAGAAGCAAGGTAACAAACGGCTTCAACCTTCACTATAGCAGATTGTGCGAATCTTGAAGCTCTCCTTATGGCATTGGCCACTTCAGGTTCTACAAACTGCACGGTCTATGTCGTGACATAGAGAAACGAATGGAATACGTCGGAAGGCAGAGATTTCGTGAACCTCCGAAAACACCGTTAGTTGTTTTTCTTACTTACGTGTTGTAATGCCAAGGTGTTATAAATGCATGGACAGGGGACAAAATGGCGGGTCGATATCCGCCCGAGCTAGCAATGCCTTCCATCACTTCGTGATCGGCTAACTGGGACCGGAATGGTCCAGACAGGATGAAAGTACTGAGTGTACCTAGGTTGACCACTCAAGCCATTGAGTAGACCACATACGCATTCAAAACTTCACTGCATGAGACTGAAAACGGGATTAATGGGAGTGATTAATACCAGGGACCCTCTTCATTTTCCTTTTGATTGACATCATGCCTTTGGTTTACCAGCCCTTGGGTTACCCTAGGATTATGACCTTATATAGTTCTTCTAGGTTCATGAAATTTAACTCGACGTGTTCTGGGTATTGCAAAAATTCAGATCGTTCCTTCCCTCTCCTAATCGTCAGGTTCCCGTATAGACACGCGCGCGTCTATTTCCTTGATCCGTTCATATTGACATTCTTTTCTTTTTGGTATGGAACCCTTTCCGGCCACTTGCACTGAGCTCATAAGTCCATTGACGTTCGCACCAAAACTTACCTATAGGTAACTAGAAATCATATGCCTACTGTAACGAAGTATTGAATTTCGGGCCGGTTAGATCTAATCTTCCAGCGGTATTGGGTAGCCAAACTAAAATTCTGTATTTTTGGGTCCCCATGTGATTGCTTGCGAATCTAAGTGCTACTACAACAACAAAACCCAAACTATTGAACAAGTGCTTGTGCCAGAAGGTTAAAATGTCGATCGATTTTTTAAACTAATATTATTGTTCTAGGCGTGTCTCAGAAGAACATAGCCACACACCGTCAAAGATAGAGCAAGCATTTCCTTCACCTCCAGAATCCTTCACAGATAAATCACGTGGGTGTTCTATGTTAATGAAGCTTTTGAAAAAGAAGATCACTTAGCGCCACACCCATCCATTCGAGATGACTCACCGCTTTTGAAAAAAAGCGACTGAATGAGTATCCACCCTATTCTTCTCCTCATTTCTACATTCAAAGTAAAATGACAATCTACTAACCTGTGTATTTCCCACAGCATGGGTTACATTAGCAACTGAAATGCTTACAAATTATTTCAGCCCCACGAGTTACCTCAACCGTGGAGTTACCATTAGTTCCTGCTCGACGAAAAGGGAAGGGACGAAATCTCGAATCAATCAGTCTGCCAAGGAATTTCTCGTAAGTTGTTCTGTTCATGGGTATTCTGTCTGACTAAATTGAAAGGCTGCCAAGACCAATCTGACGACTTGCCTGAATCACCCTGGCACAAACAGAGTTTTTACCAGAGCAAACTTCTCTTCTATTGGGTTCCTCAGAATTCATTAGGGTTAACCAGGGGAGGAAATGATGGAAATCATTACCATATCGGATGATCTGTAAGCATTCAAACCTCCGTACATTGAAAAACAAAAGAACTCAAAAGTCGAGGTGAAACAGAATAGGGGCAGGCCAATAAATCCGGGAGAGACCTTGTTGTTCCTGGTCAAGAATAACAGGAGTCAGTCCTCCCATATTTCACCACCGCCTTTGACGCAAACCCAGAGTCCTGTTGGTAAGGCATCTATCGGGAATCAGAAAATCGAATCGGAAATTGCGTGATTTTTAGGCATGTCGCTCATGTTGGATGGAACGGGGGTGGGGTGATCTTCGACGAACGTCGTCTCGACAAGCACAGCACCGTACCAGCAATCATCGATGCCGCAAATAAAATTGATCTCAACGTCTGGTTTTGCTTGGACTTCCAAAATTCCGGACATTTTTAGCACTTTTTTTTCAAAGTCCATGTTTTCAGCCGGTTTACAACGTGGTCAACAACGAGAATGGCTCCGATAAAAGTCACGCCGTGGAGGTTGTCCTGGCTGGCTCAATGATGCAAACCAGAGATCCGCTTTATTGTAAACCTCAGCGCAAAGCGGCGAAATTACCGCCCAGACGTTCTGTCGAGGCATAGATGGAGCTGGGAGTGTTGGAAGGTTTTGTACGATACTAGAGAAAATGATTTAAATTGTTTTATCAGTCCTCTATGGCCCTGAATGTACTCACCGGAATGTTCACATAATTGCCATTGTTTTTAATTCGAAATCGTTGAATAAATAGTTTTTAGTAAGAGCTGGAACGGTGTGTTGGCTAGAGGAGATGTTTTGTACCAACGTCACTTTAGGGATCGTGTTCTGCAATGACCACCCCGCACCTATCGAATTGCCTAGCTTCTCACTCATCTGATAAGGGTCAGTTTGTTGTTAACTTGAAAAGGTGGAAACATTTTTCAATATTGACCAACTCAGAAAAGTCTTTCAACCTCCTAATACTGCTAGAAAATTTCACTGACTTTGGCTGGAGGTTACGCCAGATAAACGTTTTGAGGAGCTTAATCAAAGCTGGAGGTTTTTAGGTTTTGGTTCTATTGCAATTTTGCAAGAAAAAACGTTGGTAGGACATATTCTGTTTGGATTTACAAAATGTACACTCTTGGCTTAGTGGCGACCTCATCGGGAAGCGGTCGTTTGGCGCATCCCTCCCATCGCTCCGCCCGTTCGACGCGGTTTGCGAGTTGGGCAACTCGTCCAATTGATCAGGCAGCCCATTGCTTCTCCAGCTGGTGGGACCCAGATAGATTACGCCACTACTATTAGATGCCGAATTGCGAATCTGGTTGTATTCCGCCCGTCTACATTATTTATTTGGCTTTTTCATGATGCTTGGACGAGTTGTTCAGCTCGCAAACCGAATGGGCGGCGCGATGCGAGGGATCGCGCCAAACGACATACACCCGACCTCATCCGCATGTCAGATCTGCTATCTGTTAGATCTCTTGCTCGGAGAGGTGAAGCATCTGCGAAGGAATACGGTAATGTTGTTTGAATAGTAAATTATTCGAAGCCTCACTGATAACTGTCATATTTATTGGTACATCGTAACAACGTTCGTAATCCTATTCATGCGGTGTACAGAATAAACTTTATGCGTGTGGTACAGAAAGAAAAAGAAGCTACTTGGCAGGTGGCCATAATGGCCAGCTACCAGTGAATGCGTAGAATTTCCAAAAAATGGTGCTATCCAGGCATTTACCTATAACCTGCAAATAAATGGAAGGAACAGAATGTACAGAATCGGAATGTGGTCAGTTTTCAACAGAGCAACAATAATAGGAAAGCAAACGAGGACGATCGCTTTTTCCAAAAACAACTAATCCTCTATTCTCTGTAAGATGAGTTTTGGAAATTGCTCACGGGAAATTCTGGCTTCCCCAGATATACATTTGTACATAGTTATCAAAGTTGCCGAAAAAGAGGAAATCGTCTGGAGGTGAGCAGTGTAGGGCCAAATAACGGAAGTAGGTATGCCTCCAATAACCGCTATCATCAGATCTAAACATGGCGTCATGGAAAGGTCCCGTCAGAAGTCCCCTTCTCACACCTCACCACCATTTGGCAAACAGTGTGAATGGTGAGATAAATGCAATAGCTCACGGTTCCTTGAAAAATCACCAAGTAACTATTCAGTACGACTCCTCCCAGTCCTTCATCCCATCCTAGTCTCGAACCCTTTCTCTGAGAGAAGGGGTTCGAGACTAGGATGGGACCCGAACTTCCTGCCCTATTCTTAAAAAGATTTATGGGAATCAAAATTCATGTTTGCTACACCCATTTTTTAAGGATCTTGTGCAAATCACAATTTCCCAACAAATATTTTCCTTAGGAAATCAAGCTTACCCATGTGAAATTCATTTACGTTGTTCGCCATACGCTACAATTTCTGATGGCAGATTAACCATCATTACTTCCGGAGTTTTAGGAGATTGAACGAATCATAGACAAGAAGATACTCATGAAATCATTGCCTAGATCTGTTTGACCACAGTTAGCAACGCAGTGTGGCATTTATATGTCGTTCCACCAATGGTACCGTGCCCAAATCAAACAGCCAGTACGTCCAGGTGTTCATGTTGAGAGCTGTGATCAGTATACAGCAGATGTTGAGCAGTACTCCAGAGCAGAACTAAACAAAACTAGTTTACTCTACAGTAACTCGTAGTAAGCAATGATATATAAAACCAGTTCTGTACTAATCAATTTGGGTAAAATGGGTGACAGGAAGAGCGCGAGAACAACTGAGCTGAGCTGCGGGACCAGCTTTCAGGCTGTGCTGTGTAGCTCGAAAAATCGCCTACCATCTCGAGTACTCCGACAATTTTCGTATCAAACACGATCGCATTTGGAGGAGTCGCCATCGGCAACATGAAGGCAAAAGAGCATGCTACAGTAGCAGGCATTGCCAAATACAATGGGTGAAGTTGCAAAGATTCGGCCTGGAAGNAAGAGTCAACTAATGGAGGAATGTTCAAATTATGTTACATTGTTGAAACTTAAATGCATTCTCTATCAAGAAGTTGACCAAAAATACTTATTACCCCAATCATTCGATCCCGCTCAAACATAATTTTATACCTGGGATGCTCCTCACGAGATAAAAGACTGGTATAGGATCATACTCGAATCCGCATGGGAGTTTTTTCGAGCCGATAGGCTAATCCACTACTCCACTGATGCTCTTCTGAAGCCCTCCCTCTGTGATTTAGCCCAGATTATGAGAAATCTGTTATGAGAAATCTGTCCCATGATAACCTTCTCATAAGTATAATGCTCGCCCGATACCATACCCCACGTGGGCATTTCAGAATCTCAAAGAAGAGGGTGTGGGGGACCCGGGGGAAGACTCTGTTTTTTTCGAAATAGCGGATTGTTTTCTGATCGATAACATTAAATAAATAACCACTTACTATGCTTATAACAATAGGAATAAGGATGCTGCCTGTTGACACGTTGCTAGCGAACTCTGTCATGGCAGTGATGGATGCGGCTATCATAACTGAAGCGATCTTACATTATCTTACATTCCTTCTTATATATAAAGCAGTAACTTGGTTTGTCGGTTTGTCGGTATGTCGGTTTGTCGGTCTGTCCGTCCGGGTTACTTTGTGATTATGATAAAGGTAGTGATATGGAAAACTTATTCTTCTTATATAAAAAGCAGTCACTTTGTGGGTAGGCTAATGGAGTAAAGTGAGCACTGCGGAGTGAAGTGAGTAATATGAAGTGAGGAGGATGATTCAAATTGTGATCTCTACTGTACTGTAATGGCAGTACTTCGACACTGGTATATTAAAAAGTAAAAGTAAAAGCCTAAAAAATCTGTGATACTGGTATGACATTTCTATATCGCTTTGGAAGTTCAGAAACTAAGTAATAGNAAATAACCACTTACTATGCTTATAACAATAGGAATAAGGATGCTGCCTGTTGACACGTTGCTAGCGAACTCTGTCATGGCAGTGATGGATGCGGCTATCATAACTGAAGCGATCTTACATTATCTTACATTATATTAAAAAGTAAAAGTAAAAGCCTAAAAAATCTGTGATACTGGTATGACATTTCTATATCGCTTTGGAAGTTCAGAAACTAAGTAATAGAAGTACTCACTTTGTAACTGCACAGAATTAAACCTCCCAAAGGTATCCTTCATTGCACAAGCGATCAGTGTTGATAGTCCGGATTTCTAGAAGACATTCATAGTGAGCAGAAGTTTAAGAGTTGAAGTCTTTAGAGTGCATCTATACTCGGCATGGGCTGATAGCATTTCGCTGCTCTACTGGACGGCAAGTCAAGAAGTTTGATACAAGTGCACAGTTTGCGACGGGAAATATTCTCAATGTTTCCTATTAAAAATCATACGAATATGTTGTAGCGCAGGTGACCACGCCCAAAAATAGACGTGTTTAAGGTCTGCAGAAGCTGCGGAGACTGTACCCGCGCACCATCCACAAAGAAATACACTCGCCGGAAATGCAATCAGATGATCGCTCGGAGCGCCTTCCTCGTTGATTTTATTCTGCGGTACACCTCCAGGGTGTGGGTGTTAGAAAAGGATAAAACGAGAAGCAAAGAAATGCGCTATGTATAAAGATCACAGCTGCGCAAAATTATGCAGTCCTGACCCATGGCGAAAGTGAATAGCAATTTTTGACGGCAGGGATGCTCACGCTATTGCGTATCTTCTCTACAGTCTCGCCCGAACTCGTAAAAAACCTCTTCGTTACATTTATAAAGCCTCGAATTTGGAGAACACCCGGATTTTCAGACTTTTTTGCCACTTATGTGGCGGTTTGCACCAATACTTCCGTTCTCTACCACAAAATCTGCATCTAGAACTATCGAACCGCGCTCTTAAACTAAGATGGATAGCTTCTTGAGAAAAGAAGATGTGAGATGAAATAATCAGACAAATATGACAAAAAAATGTGTAAAGAGGTTAAGATGCGAGAGCAGCAATCCGCTGCCGCCAAGTCAGCGAGTTCGGGTTCGGGTTATTTAGATACCGAGCACGCGGTAATTACAAAAACTGGCCGGAATGGGATTGATGAAATCAAGGTAATCACCTCTACACCTTCAGAAATCGCATATCCGGCCCCGATCAGCAGCATGCAGGACCACGTGAATTTGTGCTGCATTGTTGGCCACGTCAAAATTGGCGAATGATCTAAAAATCAAGCTCAAGTTTATTTTCTACCGAATGTGTAGGATGAAAGCGAGCGGTCTTTTTTATGGGCCCAATCAACACGAGGTCGACTGCTTGTTTTACACTTTTGATCACAGGCCCACAGGGAAGTAAAAATGCGGCCGTCAGATCGAACTTTTTATCTGTCTCACTATACAGTTGCAGCTAGCTTTTACCTTTTGCAAACGGATCTCTTGGCCATGCAAACATTAGAAAAACAATCAGAATTCCAGGAACAGAGTCGGTGAGAAATTTCCTGCAAGTTTTAGGTTGGCCAACTGGGAACATTCTTAGATGAGCTTGGAAAACACAAAAGAACAAACGAGGTAACTCACCCATCATTCGGAAAAAGGTCTCCCCAACCAGCTATGAATCCGGGTTTTCGCATGATCCAAAAACTCATGAGGACGCCAAACCAGCAAAGAACCGATTTCTCGGCAAACCTAAACTGGTGACAGTCATTTATTGGCTGATCTACTACAGCGCCTGTAATGGTAATGAGTTGTTAATGCTAAATGCAGCGCATTCGTAATTTTTTTTAACGAATCAGGGGGCGTGGCCAAAATCGATCTCTACCACATCGCGTGACAGGCCGTTGACCAATCAGGGCAGAGGGGCGGAGTCAGGAACGTGCCGTACCGGAGCTTTAGCACAACGACCAAATAGAAAGTATAAACTCATACGTGAAAGGTCCCAATGCCTTGTAAGCATCATGTATATTCTTTTCCACTGCTTTGGCGAGCCGTTTCTCATCGACATGCTGACGAGAACACCATCGGAACAATTGACGTGGTCCAATGAAGAAGCACTGAACGAATCCTCCGATCGATTCGTATCTATTTGTTAGTATTAACTTCAAGTCATACAGATGATAAATGCCATACCGTAAGAATTAGAAACGACGCGCTGAGATAGAGCAACACTGGTGGAATGGCAAATGCCATCCATTGGACGAATGAAACGCGTATCTCGTTGTTGGGGTACGTGCTGGAAAGAATGATTTCAAGAAAAAAAAACCAAAATCCCTCGAAACCTGAAACCTACAGCGAGATAGATATATCTGAGGCAAACAAAAAAGGTCATCACACCCATCGAAGGCGAGGAAAAGCGGCAAAAGGATCACTTCGCGTCCATCAGCGATAGCTATCCCTTACCAGCATAGTTGAACGGGTCGACGTCCGGGAAGCGACCGATTCTGCCTCATGTGTGAAAATAAACGTTTCAAAATCAAAATACACTTACGTCTGAATGATCTCACGAAAAACGAGATTTGGCCCAGTTGAAGTGATGATTGCCGTTCCACCGATCAAGGAGCCATGAGCACAAGAGAGTACAAGAGCCTTAATTCAAGAGAATAAGTGACCAATGAGAACTTGTCAGGTCGCTCCTTCGAGAGGGCATGCTGTCGGGTACGGCTGTGGGTTCTTCCTAATCTTTCCGGGCTGGGAGTGGGAAATCGACTCTGAAGGGAAGGTTCTTCTCAGGAGTTCCGAATGTTGGATCCGAACGATGTTGGTCAGGGTCGAGTTCAGGGAAGCTCTACCACCACCGTAACGAGAAAATGTTGATTTCTCTCTTCCGTTCATAATAAAGCTAACACCATCGGCTCTGAAACAGCCCTGACAATTTTTCAGTACCTTTGATAGACTTGCCCCTTAGCTGATGGGTGGAGGGTGCGCTTTGCAGAAAGTCAAATTAAAAGTCAAAGACTTCAAAAGCTGACCTTGCAAAATCCTCGTTGACTTCGTGGCAGCTTCTTCAAGTCGATGAGCTTCGATCTGAATAGCTATCGTACGTGAATGCTTAGAGGACACGGACGACATGTAAAATATACATATCGATTGCAAAAAAAAAGCATTGCACCCTGATTATTAGTGGGGATCATATGCATGGAATGCATTGTGATAAGTAGGATCCTAATTTTCGGGCTCTTAGGATAGTTTTCGGCGGTCTAAATTCGTTATAAGTAGATTCTGCATTTATTAGGGTGGTATTCCTGATTCATCATGAGAATACGGTACTTCCACTTCTACTTTTCATTACA